ATATTAATATATAAACAATATTGATTTATAAAAAAAAAAGAAAAATATAATAAAAATAAAATAAAACGATTTTTCATTTCAATTAATGCGAAAAAACTAATTAAGATATGCGCTATAAACATACTTTTGTGTATAGTACTTTTATAGAATAAATATACGTTATATAACGCATGTGCACTGTATACGCGGCGTTCAAGCCGATATATATGTATAAACCCTCCTTATATGCGTAATAAATGGAAATTTTTGCCGAGAGAGCATCGGATGGCGCTATACCCAAGGCACAAACTAAACATTATTAGCATAGTATAGTATAGTATAGTATAGTATAGTATAGTATAGTATAGTATAGTATAGTATAGTATAGTATAGTATAGTATAGTATAGTATAGTATATTATAGTACAGTATAGTATAGTATAGTATAGTATAGTATTGCGGTTTCAGCGTTTATTAGGCCGTAGGCTCTAGTCTAGCCAATAAAAGTCCATCTGCATATTGATATCTGCATATTAATTATTGTACTCATTAATCTTACGAAGATCGCGGACTGTGTGTGGTCATACATGTAATGAACAAGGCTCGTGTTTACGTCCGCTGATGTCATCCAGAGGCACGACATGTCGCGTAGCAGATTTCACTTCGTAATTTTTGTTCAAGCAAGAAAAAATGTCTGAGAGATTGTGCTTACCATGAATGCATGGGGCAAGAAGTTATAAACAAGCGCATACTATGATTTACAAACCAATTTCTGACGCGAATATGTCAACAATAGTTGTCTACGCTTAACAGATTCAAATTTCTACTCAAAATTTAATTATTATTAGTGGAAATATATGATGGTTAGTTCCAATGATATTAAAAGAGTGGATTCATAAAATTAAAAATGTTCTTTAAAATTTTCGTATTTGTATTAATCATCATGCAGTCCAGCTCACGCGCAGGCTCTCGTATCCACAAAATAGAAAAATTCGAGAAACTTTTCTTCTAAACTGAGCCCAGCGTGCGTTCCAAAAGGGGCTTTCTCTCCCCAAACAACAACATGTTCAAGTCATGTGGCCTGTAGCCGGTGCCAGACTGCGGAACCGGATTCTTGGATAAATAGCATTAGCTCCGGCTTTCTGAGACGTCTATATCTATAGCCAATTTTGAGCGTACATCATAGTCTAAGATTTGAATGTTTGTTTGATACGATGCTAAATGATAAGATAGACTTTATTCTATGATAAGATAGACTCGGTATCTATCTAAATTAATTGTATGGATTTAAATTTTGATACTCAAGTTAATGCAGGAATTTGTATAAATTAATCAAAAACCGTTTGAACACGATGAACCCTTTTTTTATATTATAGGGTGTTTTTTTGTCTATTTATTTACAGCGAATTTTGACGATGCTAGGACGAACTGCTGGTAATGGATGACTCTTGACTCGCTTTCGTTTATGGTTGTGATTTGATGAAATATTGTTTCATAAAAGAAATTCAATGTATGCTTATATTGATATTTAAAAAGCTTTGTCAGTTTTTAGTTCTTTGCTATAAACGCGTTTCTAATTTGACATTCTTGCCATTAATGCAAGGCGGCGAATAAATAAATAGTGACCTGTGCAAATTGAAACTACAGGACGTGGCGAGCGATTAACATTTTTTTATTTCATTCGCTGTGCAATCAAATTTAAATTTAACTTAAAATTTAACAATTCATTGTTTAAATATAATTAAATTTAAATATTTAATATATTAAAAATAAATGCACAAATTTAAATATTCACAAGAGAAAAAAGTGAGTTCTATTAGTCGCATCGATAGAGCTAGTACATATGTAAAAGTTGTTAAAAAATTCCACATTACAACTTTCCGTGACGCATTATATCCTTTGTGATGATCTCTCTACGTATACACTCATAGTAATTAGTGAGACTTTGTCAAAATATCGATGCACTTTTTGCTTTTGTCTGGGTCACATTGGCCCAATAAGGCAAAATGCGTCACTATTTAGAAAATGTGACCCACTTATTCCTCTGAGTGTACTTGACACAACGGGCCGGTATGTGTTCTGCTTCGCAGGCTTTCTGTGCACCAAACTGTGGTGAAGGAAAACATTTCGCCCTTGGCTATTGGCTTGAAATCCAGGCCATTCCTATTGTACATACATGCTCGCTGCACGTTATAACACGTTCATTTTAGCGCATTTTCTCATTTATGGGAAAAATGCGCTATTGTGCTTGTCATTTCCGTCCGTCTGTCCGTCCGTTCGTCCGTCCCTCTGTCTGTCTTTCTGTGACTTTACGTTTCCGTCGATTTTGAGAAAATGCGCTCTCTGTCACTCATTACAGTGAGTACTGAGTTATATTTTTTACTAAAACTTTCAAGATGTGCAACTCCCGTCATTGTTTAGCTAATTATTAAACAAATATTTAATACTTTCCCATAGGCATTTTTTCTTAAATCTTTATGGCAGCATTATTTGAGCTTCCTCTTATTAAGATAGAGTTCTGCATTTGATTAAAAATTGATTAGTAAAAATACTTCGGTAGTGGTTCACGAAGATGTTCGATTCATAATTAAGTGCGTTGTATATATGATTCATATTTCATATGTATTATGCATGCATTATAACTTCTATGGATGAAGATCAAAGCCCTGCCGCTCCCATGTCATTAATGTTGAATTGAGCCCGCGGCGTCAGGACGAAAAAGCTGTGCGTAAGTTCTAGTTTTCTTTCCCGGCAGTCAGTCAAGTTCTGTAAATGACAAAAAACCTGTCGCCTTCACAGAAAGTGAGGAAGAGCTAGCGAGAAAGTGTCCATAAGAGCCTGGGCTTGTAGAAGCTCTGCTTCGCTACCTTGAATGCGGTCTTTAAGAGTTTTCGGGCTTTCTAAGTTACGTTGCTTAGCCTGAGTTTTCGGATATTCTAAGTTACGTTGCTTAGTCTGAGTTTTCGGGCTTTCTAAGTTGCGTTGCTCAGTCTGAGTTTTCGGGCTTTCTAAGTTACGTTGCTTAGTCTGAGTTTTCGGGCTTTCTAAGTTACGTTGCTTAGTCTGAGTTTTAGGGTTTTCTAAGTTACGTTGCTTAGTCTGAGTTTTCGGGCTTTCTAAGTTACGTTGCTTAGTCTGAGTTTTTATTCCAGCGACTTAGCATATAATGGAATTACGATATAGGCAATGAATTTACGAAACGGATTAGATAAATTTCAACAAATTTATACGAATGAATTCCATAACGATGGATAAATTTGCATGTGGCATTCATGTATGGACCTGTATTCTTAAACAAGGAAGATGAAATATGCAATATTCTCGAAATAATGTACTCTGAGAAAACTCGGTTCATTTATCCCGCGCTTCGCTTGCGTAAGTATTGCGTGCTTGCGTAACATCTTTCACAGCCATTAAACGCTGAAATGACTTTCCCGCTATCTCTACAGCTTCATTGTTGCGCGTATACGTGGACGGCAGTTTCGACGCGTGCGTTATCTTTTAATTGGGATTACCGTACGGGTGGCGACTGATATAGAAGAGCTGCGTCATGCATAATTATGATACTTCCGCTCAGATATATTTTCTGTCGAATTATTGTTTTTTTAGAAGAATTTGTATGATGTTTATCTAGGCGTAACTTTTAAGAAAATATATTTCTTGGTGCGGTGTATACATCGACTAAACTCGTGCAACGATGCACGATCTTACGGAGTTGAACCGAGACCCTGATGCATGGTCAGGGTGTTTGAAAATTGAAAAATCTCGGTATACATCAACGTAAATAATCAAATGCTAAATTGTAGCAATATCCATTTGAACATATTATTGCCTTTATAATCGTAAGTGAAATATCAATATTACATGCTGCTCAGAGTAGCACATTCGTGTATGTACTCAGATTAAGATAAATTCAGCCCACAACAATATAAAGCTCACTGCGTTATAAAATTCCAATTAAGTTCAAAGCTTAACAATTTTTGGTCTGTTTACTCATTACTCTATCCCGTCAAGATTGGATATTGTCAAATATGGATATATTTTAATAAAACCGGAAATACAACTTCCGCGTTCCATTTGCCGGATCTCGCGAGAATCGACTGTTGCCTGATCAGGTTTTTCTGTGAAGTCTTCTTCTCATGGAATGTATGAGATTTCTCGCTAGGCAGATGATACGCAATTTATAGTGACATATTTATGTAACGCTATGTCTAATGTGGAAGATCTTTAGAGTATATTGAACATAAAAGCCATGGTATTCTTTTAAATTCGATTCTCGGTAAAGTTCTCGATATTTTGTGCACAATAAATTTAGCGATGGAGCTTAGCCGCTATGAGGAAAACAACATCATCGCTTAAAAACCATATGCTTGGTTATAGTATTCGATGTTAATCGTCTGGTACATAGTGACATTTTTACGCCATAACTTCGATTTAATAATAATAAACAAAACTGTGATGAACTAACCTAAATAATATACTAAACTGTGTGTGTAAACTATACACATTTGATAAGATGTGCGTTGTTGGTCCTGATATGCGTCGCTTTCATTTCTAAAGTTGTTTCCGAGGTGAAAGTGTGAGTGAGAGTTTATCACTGCAGCACGGGTATGTGGGGGTGTCCGCTTGGGCATATATGGGCATGAGCTGCGCCCTTGGTGTGCATTGTGTGTTCATGCGTGTCTTACCCCTTTGTCTATACTGTATACGAATAGATTAACGATAGCGTCAATAATATTGGTATCAAAAGCTTTATAACAATTGTCGTTCGTCAATAGACAATGAGTTAACCTAACACTAAACGGTCAATTTCGGAGTTTATGTAGAAGTAGCGTTGCAAAAACAGGGTAAAAAATTCACTACGATAACTAGCTTATTTTCCACCTTGGGTAACAATTGAAGAATTAGACGATGTTTATAGGTGGGTAATTTATTGAAAAAATCGTTAATCATACTTACTTGATCTTCGATATAATTTGAATAAATGTAGTGGTAATATTAATGCTTCACTATGTTCCGCAGATCTCCGGACAACCTACCGATGGCGACGAAAAAGCTTCTGATACCGAAGGCTCCTCAGGACGAGGCCTATGGGAAAGCGACATTTTCTTCATCCAAAAACTGGCGAGTTTTTTCGGTGGCGGCGACAAAGATACAAAAACTACGAAGACTGAGGAACCCATACGGAGGCAAGACCGTGTCCCTGTGTTGCGCCACCAGATGGTTCCTCCTCAGCTCTTCCATCCTGAAAACATTGAGACTCCGAATGGTCCTCTCACGGTGGTAAGCCATTCCAGCAGACCCGCTGCCAAGTTTAGGGTGGGAAAAAATCCACATGGGGTTCGACAGAGACCACGATTTCCATTGCGGCAGAAAAATAAGTTAATTAAAGTTCCTCCACCGATGAGAAAGACCGGTGAAAAGCTTCCTGTACTTTTGAATCAGAGTGAAAAACCTTCCAGGCTTTATACAGGGAATGCTAATTTCGTCCAGCCTGAAAACTTCCGAGTGCCACCTCCCTTGTCGAATTCATTGGATGGACATCGCACGCACGCGAATCTGAATACAATTGTTCACTCTCAATTCTCGCAGGCACCTTATCCTTTCCGCATGATAACATCGCCAAAGCCCTTCGTAAACCCTTTTCAACTAGGGTTCACTGATCCACATCCAGAGACCTTCACAAGAACCGTGACGTCTTCGCTCCTGGCGAACCACAATCCCACAAACCCGAAGTTCCTGTCCAGCCCAGTAGCAATAAAGAATCCAGTTCCTAACTTAGCTCATCCTCGTGACTCTAGCTTTGTTTTCCCATCAAGTTCCACCCAGAAAAACCTTTTCTTCGACCAATCGTCATTACTGCAGCCGAGCGGTTCTGTCCAAGAAGTTACACGCGTAAAGCAACCTCAGTTCTTGTCAGGCTTATCATTTAATTCTATTGGAACTTCTTCATTGGATAAGCCCCTAAATCGTTTCCGTGACCAACACTTGAGACCTCCCCCACAGCCCCAACGCGTTGAGCTTGATTTACATAAACCTAACCCGTTCGATTCGCATGCCGAATTACATGGACTCCACAAAACTAACGAGTTGGGGAAAAATAAGTTTGAATACAATGGATCGGATGATTTTCTACCAAGTCCCAAAGAAGGGAACATGCTAGAAGACGCTTTTCAGCCGATTTTCAGAGCATCCCAGAGTCTGGACATGGAATTGCCTGAATCTTTCATGAAGCCCATGCACATAGCCTCTGCAAGATCATTGACGTTCGCTCAGCCAGCACCTCCACCTGAAGTAATTGATTTTTTCGAGGAAGATGGCATGAAACACCTGTAATTAAATGTAAATCTACAAATTATTGTGTTCAGATGTTGAATGTGATAAATTATAGTCCATAGTTGAACTGACTTAGTATCCAAATTAAGATTGTACGTATTAAATAATTCCATCTCTATATTTCTTATGAAATGCTGAGGAATCTTTATTATTTGAAGAACTATAGCCAAATAAAGAATACAAATTGAACTGCAAATCTTCAGAAAAAAACATTAACTAGCTTGCTATAAAATACATTTGTATTTTTGGCTCACTGTACAAATAATTTCAAGCTTGCATCTAGCCACTAACAATCTGTGCAGATAATAATTTTATTCTGCCCCTAATAATTTGTTAGATGTTTGTTGATGATCATTGTATAAGTGTTCGTTATTTATTATTTAAGATAATTATTCGGATACGGGAAAGCCTATATGAATAAAAGTGATAGAAATAGGCATTTTCTGTACCTCGAATGTTTGTTCTCGTTATTATACTCGTGTAAGCGTGTAGGTACGACTAAACTCTAAAGCTTCTCGCATTATTGCATTATTTACAAATATGTAAAATCTTTTATCTACTTTCTATGAAATTATAATAATAATAATACATTATTTATGATATTTTTTCTTACATGAGAATATTCATGCATATATTGCTCGTGTGATGTGAAGGTAATTATCTAAAATCATTAAACTGCTCATTTCAAAGGCATATTTATGTACCTACATTTATGCAAATAAATGCTAACACATTTTTTGTGAACTTTATTTTTAATTCCTTGCAAGTTCATCATAGAATGAATTTACTCCCACTTTTCACTTTCCTTCTCATTCGCTGTATTTTTAGCTCGTCCATTTGCCGTAGGCCCGAGAACACATATGTTGAAATTGATTTGTTGTGTATATGCTCGAGCATTGACTCTTTGATCCAAAAATTCATCGTTAAGACTGAAAAAATAATTCACAGCTCAATTCATTTTTAGAGATTAGCATCGTTATTGGGTTTTGATGATACATTGAATTTTTTGCCATGATTCGAATTTCTTAGTAATGATCTCGATGATGCAAATCATAAACGATAAACCTCGTGAAGCATGGAGCAGGCTCTTTTTCAAATCGGGAGATACAAAAAGTTTTTAGGTTATTTAAAATATATTTTTTTTTTTGCTCAATTAATGTTGTTCGCGCAAACGATTGGAGACCGTCCGCAGAATTGTCCAACCTCGTCCAAACAGCAGGTTTTCTGCTCGGGGAAAATGAACGCTTTTTTACATGTTTTGCAAACATTTTTAAATTTGATAAGAGTTTTAATAAAATGCAGTTTGAAAGGTTTGATGAATATAGAATAGAATAGAAGTGTCGGCACTGAAGAAATAGACCCATGGCCTATTGCCGATTCATGAACTTTTCGTGGCCTAGTGACAGAACCAGAGGCCATAGTTTGAAACTTGTAAAAGAGCAGTGCAGTCGCCAGGTGCGCATGAATTTTTTCTCCGACAGAGTGGCGAACGTGTGGAATAGCCTTCCTGAGCTGGTAGTTTCCGCCCCTAGTGTCAACTCATTCAAGTCTCGTCTGGACGCTCACTTTTTTAGCCTGGCCACCAAGTGACCCGGACTGCTATCACTAAACTCGTATTTGGAACCCACCACGCACGTTGCTATTACGACGTATCACCATGATTGGTGAACAGACCTCTAATAAGGCCTTCAACACCTCAACCCTTCAAAGTCAAAGTTGATTCACAAGGGATCCGGCCTTTGGATCGCCTTATTTAGTAATTTTAGTGGATCGTCCTCAATCAGCATCGCACGGCTCACTGGAAGTCAGGTAGGATGTTGCTCTTCATAATTAGTTATTAAATTTATTTAGCGCGTGTGGGGACGATAGAACCCGACACGTTTTCTAATGTCTGAAACTTAATATTCGTGGCAGCGGGGCGGATGACCCTTCTCGTGGTTTTTTATTGCTTCGTTTATTTGAAGCAAATTTAAGAAAATTCATTAAGTTGACCTGATCATTTAAACCATGGTCAATAAAGTATCATAGTTGAATTCAGGTGCGCGAATAATTATTTCATAATAATTTATTGTGTCATATAAAACGGACCGATCAGATTTTCTTTATTTATTGATCGGCGACCTATGTCTGCTCACACTTTCTTTGGTTGAAGAAGGGCGGGGCATTTCCTCAAGTCCGTCCGTTTTCTCGTTGCTTTACGTTCAAATTTTTAACTGGAACAATGAAAAACTATCGCAATTAATTGACTGACAATTGTTTTATTATATTAGTTTCACGTCAACAAACTTGGTCCTTCTGAATTTTAATTAAATTGTAAACGAATGCATATAGTTACAGATGCATCGACTTGAGTAATTAGACTACGATGCAACCTGAACGAAAATTTGTGCCAATGCGTACCATAACAAACATGGCGCTATGTTTCGGCGAGTTGCAGTCGAACATTCACATTGAGTTGTGTACGTGTTGAGTAGGCAAGGTCTTAAAGAGTGTGTAACAAAATAAGTTCTCATCCATACCTGAAGTTTGGTAAGAAGAAATAATTATGCTTTGTTTACACTTAGACTTTATGCTTTACCTTTAAGGCTTTATGTTATGATATTAATGTTATTATGTTAGTTCAAATGGTCAGCTTAACTTTAGTCTAAGCAGGCCGCTAAGCATGTTATTCGGCTTATTCCTGCAATTGTGACTCTTTGAAAAGAAGAAATTGATAGCTATTATTATTATGAGTGATGAGACTACTTAGAGTCATGAATATATTTTAATTTTAAGCTTTAATAATTTATCTAGAAAAGATCTTGCTATCCATTTTTAATTTTGAAAACTCCATATTCCATAATAACTTGCAGTTGCAGACTTGCAGTCCTTGAATCCAACAATCTTACAAAGCTGCTAGCCTGCTAGGCTATCGGCTATCCTGGAACTTCACTTGCCACTTGCCAGTGGCCAGTGCCAGTGCTGTGTGACAGTGTGACAAACTGTGTACTGTAACTTTCATAAAATATTATTCATAAAAATGATTGGAAAATTTCTGCTCATTACTGAAATCTAGCAACTTCAAAGTGTTTGTAATTACTTAGGAATCTAATGGCTTAATATTGCCCTTTAGCTCCTTTTGATATCAATCAGAACGGAGATACTTCTACCGTCAATGCCACATAAGTCGCCACTTTCAGAAAACCCACTAGAATATATTAAATTTCGAAACACCAAGACGCTAAAAATTAAATGTAACACGTGTGCTGGGTCCATAGTGACAAAGCAGAGAATTTTTTAGACTCTCCCTCAAGTTCATTTTTGATAATTGATTATCTTCGCGCACGTGTTCGCGCAATCCCGGCCATCTTTATTTTAGAAGAAATTTTCTCCAAAGTCATATGGCAACACTGAACACCGTCTGTTTACATTTCGTATGTATAACAGCCGCAGTTTACAATTACCGTACGTTCCGTATCCGACAAGGTGGACAACCGGAAGAGTCAGAAGTAACCCAGACATGTCTTACATTTTATTATTGTCAGTTCGACTCGCATAGTCAATATACTTGCGTATATTGTCGACTAAAATAGTAGAACTATTTTAGCTTTCTAAAGTACGGCGCACGGCGCATTTTTTTACCAACGTAGTACGGCGCACCCCGCAGGTTGTTAAAATGACAAAATAAATTCCCGCGCACCTGGCACATCTTCCTGACCATGGAGTACAATTCTTGCCTAGTCTGGTCTTAAGTCACAAAATGATGCACTAAACATTCAAACTGGCTAGAGCAGGTATGGAGTATAACTAGCCTACCTCTACCTGTCAAGTCACGCTGTGACCAAGTTGGGAAAAGTTCTACTTTTTTCTGAACTATTGCGGCTCTTGTACCTATATAATTTCAGTAGGTATAAAATCTCGTGGCTCTAATGGCATGTATTTTTATTCTATTGAAAAAATCGCGGATTGCACTATGTAAACATGTCTTATCCTAAAATTTTCAACTTCTGAATTCCATAGTACTTCAAAGCTCCTGCCAAAATATTCTGCAGAACGTAATGGTAATGAGTTAACCGGGTCAACCCAAAATGTTGTGTTGAAGATAGCATAGTTGTGGGGTGCGGGCAGGTGGGGCATGTCAGAGCAGTCAGACTGCATTATCATGTGTTCAGTTGCCACTAAAGTAAAGACAAATATTACTGTTGCTGTTTCTAGGGTAAATTAGAGATTTGTTATAACATGTGCAGTGTGCACAGCACTTGGTAAATAAGATTGCAGTTTTTTAATAGGTCTTTGTGGCAAGATATGGAATTCATGGCTTGAAAAATGGAATCATGGCTGGCAAATCTATTAAACCACAGCTCCAAAAATCCAGTTGTGGCTCACCCTGTAGATATATTCCATGCCTGGCTGTGACTAGAGCTTTCCTACCATGCATTTATGTCATTTTTTAGAGCCATGAGATTCCTGCTAGATGAATTACCTTCTATCTAATTGCAATTGGTATAAGGTATCAAAAGATTCCAATCTTTTGTTCCAAAATGATTTGGAATTTTGCCCAAAGATTGGGCAAGATTTCAAATGCATACAAATTTTTTTTACTTCTTACTAAAACATATTGCAAGGTCATCTTTGCCTAATGCTGTTAATATTTTTGTTGGAATTGTAATTGGGTGCGTGCTGACCTCTGGTCAAGACCTTTAAATTGGTGATCTAATTGACAATATTCAAAATAGATTATAGTATTTAGTTTTCCTTTCATTAAATAATCTGGTAATATAAAAATTCAATTATTTCACTATTTATGAAATTGTATAATGTATTTCCTTTAGAAGAAATAATCTTTAATTAGTATCATGTAATTGCCATCAAGCTCACCAAGTTTTTAATATTCAGTTTTATACAGACTATACAGCACAGCAAATTCTAATATACCTATATGCTCTAATGTTAACATCATCTTTTGTAGTTTGAAAGCGTGAAGGACAACCCTGTTGAGGGTTGTGAAGCCATCTCATCATGGGTGTTGGTGGTCCTAATGTAAACATTGGTGGGGCTGTGCATGATGGCATTGTCAAGAGTCTCGGCACAAACGTTGATGGTGCAGCTCTCACCATCGCTCTGGATGTTGTGCAAGCCTGGGCTGTTGTCCTCACATTAGGCTTCACCATCATACTCTTCTTCTTCCTGGCCTTTTGTGTTTGCTCAAAAAAGGATGATAGGTAAGTGCTATTTTATTCATTTTTTAATATAGATAATTTTGCATAAAGTTTTCCCCTTCATCTATTATGTACATAGGTAATTTAACATATAGTTTCTAAAATATTTCATTGCTTTGTATTTATCTTTTAAAGTTTAACTTTTGATGCATTTTTTTACTGATTTGAAGTTCAGATTAAAGTACTAAGAGTATTAAACAAATGTTTATAATTAATGAGGGTTTGATTAATTTAAAATATGCATATATATTTCTCTGATTTAATTTGTAAGTTTTGAGCATAATGATGAAAATATGTATAGGGACTATTTTAGCAACTATGCACAACAGTTTATATAATATTAGCCAAACATGCTTGGAGAGTTTGATTAAGGGGAGCGTCTCGCCTAAAATTTATCTCAGTAATTTACAGAGGGATCATTCTAAAATTTGGTACACATGTGTAAACCCTAAAATAAAAAAGGTTTTATTCGTGTCAATTTTTAGAAAAAAATTGAAAGAAAACGTGAAATTCTTAGAAAACGACCAAAAAGGGGTACTTTAGAAAACCTATCTCGTCCTAGGATTTTCAAGCTACAACATCGAGCCACATATCATTCGATGCGTAAAGACCACATCTACAAAATTGTGTATAGGTTTTTTGAATTTCTCATTTTTGTGAGTGTGGGAGTATTTTGTCCGAAATTGTTTGAATTTTTTTATTTTACCTCCACTTTCCCCCCTTTTGCAAAATAAAAATCCGAACTATAACAAACTTGAAAAAAAAACCACAACCAGTTTGTAGATCTTTTCTTTACATCCACTTTCCCCCTTTTTGCAAAATAAAAATCCGAACTATAACAAACTTGAAAAAAAAACCACAACCAGTTTGTAGATCTTTTCTTTACAAATCAAACGGTATATGTCTCATTGATGTAGCTTTAAAACTTTAGGAGGAGATAGGTTTGCCGTGCGAGAGGTTTTCATGTTTTCAAACTTTTCAGTAGAGGCGAAAAACCGCGGCGCGCTATATAAAGGCATGTAACGTAGCGTAGATACCGGAAGTAAGCGTTATCTCACTTCAAAGTCAGTCAGCGGCGCATAGGACAACTACATGAACACCTTTCCTTAATTACTGAAAGAACTCCCCCCCCGCCCCCCTTTCATGAAGTGTCGTGTACGTGAAAATCGACGTAAAGAGATGTTAGTGGTACCGTTGGATAGGCCAGAAAGTCAGCTTTAAGATGAGACTAAACACGTAACTGCAGCACAACTCAAGTAGACACTATATTTAAAGAGCTCAGCAGCTAATTACTTCCTATCTAATTATTTTAAAAACTCCCCCACCCGCTCCCCTTTCATGAAATGTCGTGAAATCATAAATAAACGTAGAGAGATGGCAGTGGTACCGTTAGATAGGGCAGAATGTCAGCTTTAAAATGAGTATAAAAACCGAAAAAGTGAAAATTTTCAATTTTAGGTGAGACGCTCCCCTTAAAAAAATTCAACTGTCATATCTACTTTTGTAAGTGATAACCCTAATTGCTTTGGGTTATCGTGTCATTCTACAACCTCATGGCCTACAATTTCTGCCCTCCATTCTGTTGAGTATTTTATGGAAATGTTCAATCTTGCATTCACTGCAACTATTTAACAGGAATTTAATATTGATTGTTTCCTATCAAATACAGTCTTAAAACACTCAATCCTGAACTCAAAACAATTTTTAGAAATCATGATCAAATTTCTGGTCGCAAAAAGTGCCATTTCTGTTTTCAACAACTCCGACCACTCAATATTGTGGTAATGTTACAGATGGTTAGGAGATTCAAAGTCATTCACATGTGCATGTGCATCTTCATTGCTGGTTTCTTTCTAAAACTTTATTTTTTCCAATAGTTTTTTGATCTCATTGTCTGCAAGTTCATTGCCCACCATTGCAAAAATTACATGAAATGAGGCACAGCAAAAAGCTTGAGTACCTCCCTCTTCTGTAGCTTGTGGAACACTACTGTTGTGAGTCTGACAGCACACTTCACTGCCGAGACAGGGAGCAGTTCATTCAGTGGTTAAATTTTACATGTAGTTTGCTGAATGACCTACCTAATTATTCTTGTTCAAAACAGTTGAAATATTATTGATCCAACATCAAGAATAGGTATCAGTATCTCAACAGACAATTTTGTGAGATTTGTGGTTATTTTTTATGGATGTTATTAGTGATGAAGGGCATTTTCCCACAAGTACATGGCATTTAGGGTTAAAAATGAAATGCTTGTTGCCTTTAAATTGCTAAATGAGATTTGAACGGGAGTTTTGTGTTGAAGAAAGTTTGTATGTGTGTTTCTTCATTTAAACTACAAGAGTTTCATAACAGTTAACTGAATTTGAGATAAATAAATTCAGAATAATTTAAGTGCAGGTATAGTTTATCTCATATTACTTATATATTATTTTTTCTTGGGCCATGCTGTGGTAAAGGCTAGTTGCAAATAAGCAACGATGACAAATTCCTATGCCTCAAATGACTATTTTTTGCTGACAGCTATGACGACTATGAAGAGTTTGAGGGAGTACGCACGGTGCGTGTGTACACGCATACAGATGGAGCTGAGCAAGGCCTCTGGACTGATCAAACATCCCAAGCCTCTAGCAGGTATGCATGGCACCCATCTCTTAGAGAAATGAGTTGAACATTGTTGAAATAGTGATGCGCTTATTGCTCTTGTGTGGGTCATCCTTACAGTGTTGGTCCTAGCAAAAGGTCAAATCAATGCTAGATGCAGAAAATGTCACTATTTGTACAATGTGTCCCAATCATTCATGTTTTTGACTGCATGTACTGTTGAATTGATGACATATATACTGTAGAAGAATGAATATGATGGAACTGTTAGAAGGTATGAAATCTTCGTTTTAACAGGAGTCACCGTCAAGTAAGGTGATTTCGGCCACCGGGGGTGACTTCAGCCACCACGACAAGAGAAACAAATGGCACCAAAACAAAATAATAAATGTTGGCCACAGTCACCCAGTGGCCAAAGTCACCCCAGTCACCCAGTGGCCAAAGTCACCCCAGTCACTTTGGCCAACGTTTATTATTTTGTTTTGCTGCCATTTGTTTCTGTTGTAGTGGTGGCCGAAGTCACCCCCAGTGCCTGAAATCACCCCACTTGTTGGTATCATTTTTTAAGCAATTTTTATTAATATGATTTATTTGATTCTATGAATGTCTGATAGTTCGGGTGTCAGCATTTTCATCTTGGTCAATTGATGGAATTCATTTGTGTGGAAGCTTGTTCTTGTTGCGACTTACTTGCTTAAAATTATGCAGTAACCAATCATGAACAGGTAATGTAAATATAAATATTATCTCTGTGTTTGAAATATATATATATTGGTATGTATTTTATGGGCAAGACCAGCTACTATTGATTAACACCTGAATAGTAAATATTGGAATTTTATTAGATTTAATGATCAATATAGCTGCTTTAAACTCTTGGGCAAATTACAAGTATCTTTAGGAGACAGGTTCATAACAACAGAATTTGTATTTCCTCAATCCTTAACAAAATTTTGATGCGTGCCCCACTCTGAAATATGTGCTGCCCAGGGCTTGGGGGCTTGTAAATCGTCTTCTCTATGTTATGCTTTGGTATTTAATGGGCACCTGCTGGCAGATTGCAAGCTTGGTATGACTCAGCTCACCCAACTCTTCTCATACCTCCAGTTGACTATAAATTTAAAAAGGATATTCTCACCGGAATCTGATTTTACTCAGTTGGCCGAGTAGACCCAGAATATATATTTAGCAAGTATTTGACTAAAGCCTAGGTGGTTCCCAAATTTTGATAGGGATATTTCCTGAAACAGGAAAATTTCTGTAGCCTAAATTCATGTTTCATACGTGAAGTTTATTTATTTTTATTGTGTTTTTCGCCAGATGCACAATGAAGCGCGAGCTCCCAGCCATCCCCAACAGCGGCTCAGGCGCTCTCAGCTCCCAGCCACCTCAACAGGCGGATGCTGGGCAGTCAAGTGCACTGCAGCCACAATTAGGTACTCATTGTCTTTATCTGCAATAAAAAACTGTTTAGGCAGCACTTTAAAACGTTTGAGTGGCGTTTTAAAACGTTTGCTTCAAAGGAGTGCTTCAAAGCAATGGGAAAGTGTTGGAAAGCAGCACTTTCATGTGTTTTAGCACCACTTGAAAATATCAATTTTCTGTCACGACTTACTGCACTGCAATGTCATTGTCCAACTCTTGCCTATAATTATCTGATCAGGAATGATTAAAAAAATTTCATTCAACACACGGACTAAAATCTGTTCCTTAACTACATTATTACTAATACAATACTCACATAACCAATGGCTTGAAAGATGGCAGTTTTATTGCAGTATTACAGTGAGAGTACACAATATCCTTTTTGTGCTATTTTATTACCTGTATAAAGAGTTCTGTGTTATTTTATTACTTCTAAAATTAACAGTTGTATTTTACTTTGTGCTACAAGTGAAGACAAAAAGAATATTGAGAATAATAATAATGATTGAGCATTGTTATTAAATTATTAATATATTGGTATATATATTATTAAAGTAGTAATACTGGTATATTAATTAATAATGATCATTATATAATGGTAATAAATAATCAATAATAATAATATAGATAATAAAATAATAGTAACAATGTTGTGATAGGTGGCAGCAGTGGGCCAAGTCGTCCTGTAGGAGGTGTGCAGGTGCTACCGTCCACTGCCGCGGCCCCACTCATGGGCTCTAAAGGCGCTGGTGGGTCCAGGACGCCCCACAGCCCACCGCCCTCTGAGGTGGGGCCTTCCACGTCCTCTACAGTGTCATCAGAGCTCGCCACGCGCCACACTAGCCACTCCAGCTTCGGGTCCGGGCCAGTCAAGGAGCACCAGTATGCACACCTACAGCCCACTAGTGAGAACTTGTTATATTGTTGATTTGATGTTAAAGTCAATTCTGGTTTATTATATTCACCTTAATACTGAAAATTTGTTATATTATTGATTTGAATTAAATGTCAGATGATTAATTTATTGAAGAAATATGGATACCCCCGATGACTCGAGGAAAAGCTCCACAAAAGCTTCTTGTTTATTACATTCACCTTAATATTAAGAACTTGCTATGTTTATTGATTTGACTTCAAAGTCAGATAATTCTTGTTTATTATATTCACATTTATATTAAGAATTTGCCATGTTTATTGATTTGACTTTGAAGTAATATTATTCTTGTGTATTACATTCTCCTTAATACTAAAAATTCGTTATATTTATTGATTTGACGTTAAAGTAATATTATTCTTGTTTATTACATTCACCTTAATATTAAAAATTTGCTATGTTTATTGATTTAACATTAAAGTCTAGTAATTCTTGTTTATTACATTCACCTTAATACTGAGAATTTGTTATATTATTGATTTGACTTTAGAGTCAGATAATTCTTGTTTATTACCTTCACTTAATATTAAGAAAGGCTGTTTATTGATTTGGCATTAAAGTCGAGTAATTCTTGTTTATTACATTCACCTTAACACGTTGACTACAAAGTGGTACATGTGCGTACCACGAAATATATTTCTCCAGGAGGTAGTGGTACATAATTCAGGTTGCCTAAAATCGGCCAAATCCGAGAACAAAAAAGGCCAAAAGAGGCCGATAATTCAATGTATACTAGTTTATTTGTAGGTTCCGCTATAAAAATTCCATTTATTTTCTTTTTGCAATATCTAAAATTTAATTAGGAAGTACCCCTATCATAAATTTTAGCCGGCCAATGCAATTAACAAACACTATATCACGGAATTTGTCCGGAAAAAATGACCGTCTGGCAACCCTGCTTAAAAAAAGTACAAAAATGAAATAATAGTACAAGATGAAGCAATCGTAGTCAACGAGTTAATACTAAGAATTTAGTATGTTCATTGATTTGACTTTAAAGTCAGATAAATCTTGTTTATTACAATCACCTTAATACTAATAATTTGTTATGTTCAGTTATCAATCTCAAACCATTGATGTTACCAGCCTTCTGGTAAGATTTGCAAATGTTCATTAAACTTTTATGTCAAATAATTAATATATAATGATATTAATTAAATTCTCCCTACTAGTGAGAATTGTTTATGAAGTTATATAATTATTATGACATAAATGTCACATTCTAAATAACAATTTAATATTGATTCATTTGGTTTGAATATCAACTTACTTGCAAGGAACATAACATTTCTATTTCATGTATATTATGTTGCCTTAGCAGTCTATCTATTATAAAACTCAATTACAAATATCTTTTCAGCGGCAAAAAATTTGAAATTTTAAACATATACCGGTAATGGATGGACTAGCAGTCGTTTTTGGTTACTGAGTTATAAACATCATAAAAATTTTGAAATGAATGATAATGTCACTAAAATGCTTTAAAATACTTGAGAAATAGAAAAATGATTTAATTTGAGAACTTGTTTGTGAGAATGAGTTACATTATAATTGAGTTTATCAGCGTGCGTATTCCATGTCATGTTACCTTATGCGATGTGATCATTATGTGTGATTATTATTTAACGTGTGATATCGATATTTTATTCTATGTGTCTTTGGAGAAAAAAGCAAGCAAAGTGTGCGCTCTCCTTCTTCCTGCATCACGTACACTATGAAAAATGAATGAGTCATATTGTCCAAATAGTGACACGTTTTGCACGAAGCTCTGCTATTTAGAAAAAGTTGTAATTTATTCTGAGTGTAGAGTGTGATAGTTATTTATTTTAATTCTTCAAGTTGTGCCATATATATTAAATTGACTGCATTGTTCCAGAAGAAGAGCATCCATATGCCAAGGTGGGCGGTGACCCTGAGACCGACACGGAGCACTACGATGACCCACGCCATGTCACTGACGCCCCCAACATCCGCAGGTGAGATCAACATCATATATCTGATGTCATGACGCCCCAACATCCGCAGGTGAGATCAACATCATATATATGATGTCATGACGCCCCAACATCCGTAGGTGAGATCAACATCATATATCTGATGTCATGACGCCCCCAACATCCGCAGGTGAGATCAACATCATATATATGATGTCATGACGCCCCAACATCCGCAGGTGAGATCAACATCATATATATGATGTCATGATGCCCCCAACATCCGCAGGTGAGATCAACATCATATATCTGATGTCATGACGCCCCAACATCTGCAGGATGTTGGGGTGCCCCATGACGCCCCAACATCAATATCATATATATGATGTCATTTTTGTCCAGTAATTTGGTGAGATCGCCGTGTATCTGGAGTCATTTTCATTTGTTAATTAAATGAGAATCCAATGAATTATGTGCCTATTGTTGTTTTCTTTGGGTTGAACATTGCTTTTTTAGAGAATTTTCTTTTTAAATGTCTTGTAGGGTTAATGTTGAAGTGGTGGTGCTTTAGTTTGTGGAATTAAAAATTATGTAGGTTGTAGGAAGATATCCGTCTTAGATTCCAAATAAAATTTTCTCATTTTTGCACTTTGAACTCTAGCTCTGTTCAATGCTTTTTACCTGTATATAACCAAATTTGAATTTTATACTTCTTTAATACTCTGTTTTGCAATGTTGCCTAAGGTTACAATGCATTTATCTAGGAATAATATTGGGGCACTAATGCATTGATTAATAAGGGCTTAATAATCGATTCAGGGTCTAATAATACTCCATAAGTATAGGGTTAACTATTATAATAATAATAATAGGTAATAATTTTTACCTATATCTCCTATCCTATGCAGTGAGAAGCTCCAGAAGAGCCAATACGAGAGTGTGCTGGACCACAAGCCTGCTACTGTGGGCCCGGGTTAATAATAATAATAATAATAATTCCAACCCACATCTCATAATAATTCTAACCCACATCCTCCGCAGTGAAAAGCTGCAGAAGAGCCACTACGAGAGTGTGCTGGACCACAAGCCTGCCACGGCGGGCCCTGAGAACGGGGGGCCGCTGTTCCCCCCCAGCCTCACCGCCCCCTCGTCACAGAAACGCTCCCCGTCGCTCGAGATTCAGGCCTCGTCTGCCATTGCGGGGCACACGCCTGCTAATGAGGAACTGCCCTACATGACGCCTAAGATCACTCAGGTCTACTAGATATTTTTATATGTTGATGAAAAAATATCTTAAAATGTGAAGAACAACCTTACATGACGCCTAAGATAACTCAGGTCATCTAGCTATTTTTTTTTTGTGTTGATGAAAAAATATCTTAAAATATTAGAAATGTTAAGCTTGATAGCTTAATATTTTGTTATGGTCTTAATAGCTTAATATTTTGATTTCGGTTGTAATAACACGATATTTTGTTTACGGTTAAAATTGCATGGCTACCATTAACAATATTTAATGAGATTAATAAGAACTTAATATTTTTTTATGTTGATAATAGCTTAATATTTTGTTATGGTCATAAGAACTTGATAATTTGATTTCAATCGTAATAACACAATATTTTCTCCGCGGTTATAATTGCACGACTATCATTAATAATATCCAATAGGATTATTGAGAGAAATTTAAATGATATTAAGAATTTTTTCATGAGCAAAACTCGAGTACACGAGTTCCTAAAAATTTTTTCATTGAATTGCAGCAATATAAGTTCTATGTTGCTACTGTAACGATTTATTCATCATTCAAAACATTCCATTTGATACCGTAAACTTGGACCGTTATGAAATTTAAGAAAAGAAAATCCTGTACGGTACTCAAAAAGTTCTTGTCTTAGAAAAATTGTGTTGATGGCCCTTGAAGTATATGAGATAATCTACAAATGCACTAAGGAGATATACTTTATATATTTACTATGCCACTATTTGTATCACGAAAATGTAAGCGCTAGAAATTGTCCAAGTAACCACGTCATTGGTTTAAGTCAGCCCACTTCACGGTATAAGTACTTAGAGTTTCTTCATTATTCTTCACCTAAAAACTGTCGTGAAATTAATGAACTATTTTCATAGCTATGGAAGTCAGGTTACAGTTAACGTAGTCGATTTTAATTAAGTTTTTCTAACTTTTTCAGCTGGTATTCATTGAACCAGCTCATTTTTTAGCTATTGAACATAAAGAAATCATCATATAATAATTATTTATAACTAAATTACTATTTGCAGTCGAGCACGAGCGTGATGACGTCGAGCTCCGTGATGACACGCAGCCACCACAGCACTGCCAGCTCGTCCTCCGTGACCCCAGGTCTGGGGGGCCTCAGCCAGCTGGGGGAAGGCTTTACAGCCATGTCAGCGTCGGCTGATAGACAGTCTCAGCCACCTCAGCCAGTTGTGCCGCAACAAGATAGGTAGGTTGATTCAACAGAAATGTTAGTTTACTCCTCACAGCTTAGTTGTTTGAACCTTTATAGGTGAGTTGATATAACCTTCATAGGCACATTAATATTATATTCATAGGTACATTGATATAATATTTATAGGTACGTACCGGTACGTTGATATAACTTTCATAGGTACGTTGGTAAAATTTTCATGGGTACGTTGATGAAACCTTTATAGGCACATTGATATAATATTTATAGGTACTGGTACGTTGATAGAATTTTCATGAATGCTTAGTAGCTCCTGATTTACCAAGGAATTTTTATAGCCACCTGAGTATGTCCGTTGCTTTTAATTAACTTCGTGATCGCGATCTCTGACCGTGCAATCAAAAATAGTGAATAACTTCATCAACCTATCACTGACGACTTCTCAAGCTAACCTTACCAATTACAGACGAGAAATCGGCCGCTACCTTTACTTAAGAAAGTTTTGATAGCGTGTATCCTGATCACTAGGCCGGTTTTGGCCGATAAATGAAATGAGAGCGGAGCTTAGATTTAGGAGTTTGTACAAATGGACCGTATATCCTGCCAAAATAACTTTAAAAGGCTGATTGCAACTAAATATCGTGCTACTGGCCTCGTGTAAAGAGTTATGGGTTCTTCCGTGGTTAGTAGTGACTGTAAACGAGGCCAATAGCTCGGTAAATAGTGGCGTATAGTTTTTAAAAGCGGTATTGGCTGCCACTAATATCACCGTATACATGATGCAGCTAACATGATGCAGTTAACGGATTGTGTAGTTGGGCGGGGTTCACCCTTTTACGTTACTGCATCTGCTTCAAAACAATTTTTTCTTAATCTTTTTTATAAATGTTGCATCACTTGCAGATCTCCTGTAGGAGGTGAGCCACACCAGCAGCAACACTTCAGTGGCGACTCTCAGGACAGTCGCGGCTACACGAGCATCAGCGTCAGGGAGCCCCTGGCTGCTCTCAAGGCAGGACACCAGCAGCAGCAGCTGCCGTCTAGTATACCGCCGCACATGCAGCAGCATCAACAGGAGGGGTTAGAATAAACAAACTCATGCATAAACACTTGAATAGGAGGAAAATCCTCAAATCTTTATGATGAAGCGTTCAAACATAGTCGCCACGCAAATCTGAGGTGCCTTAATTTCATGTGTGGCTTTCCTGGAAATGAATGATCAACAATGGATCATACTTCTAACCTACTATGATAATTTGTTTGATATGCTAACATTCATGTAAACTCAAGACAATACCACAAAAATTCACTATATCTGTGATGTAATTTTTGTGGTATTGTCTTTGCTTTTAAATTCCTCGATTTAAGTAAACAAGTGATTTTAATACACATGTGAACTTTGCTCAGCTACTACATGACTGTGTCGGACGACTCAGCCGACGAGACCTACGCTTGCATCTACGAACGCGGCGGCGCCATGACGACCATCGGCTCCACTGGTACCACTCAAACTTACGCACAACCTTCACTCGTGTCGCCTTCTCAGCCCACCACGTCTCTTCCCCCTTCCAACCTTCCCCTTTCATCCTCAACTCACACTACCACTGCGTCATCCTCGGGGACTGGAGGAACTCAGTCACCATCCCCCCTGCCGGACCCGGGGGGGCTGGACCCCCCAGCGCCCCCCAGTGTTGATAGCCTCAAGCATGTCCTGCATTCCAGACAGGGTCAGATTTATATATATCAGTTTATATCAGGGTCATTTTTTATACAAGTCCGTTTTATATATCAAGTGATGTTGCTTTTGTTATTATATACTGTATGTTCCTTGTTTTATTACGTGTTGAATTTCATGGCCTAACAAAATTATCGTAGCTTTTCTTCAAAAATTTTGTGAACTTGGAAATGATCATTAATAATTTCCAATGATATTGTTTATTGAATGATTATTGAAATAGAATTTTTTAATTGCAGCCTCGTCAGGCTCCACTAGCGGGGTAGGCGCCATGAGCAGCCCCCCGTTGGAGAAGAAGGGGGCCAGCCCCCTACCTCCCCTCCCTCAGGGGGACCAGCACTACTACGAGGCTGCTCCTCCCCCACCTCCCCCTCCTCCCTCCGCCACATCTCCCCCTCATTCTGGTAATCCATTTCAGATTCTTATTACCATTATTCATGCAGTCTACTTGAAATTCTCATGCTCCTCGCTGCTGCAATTTACTTCGAATTTTCATTTCCCTTACTCATGCACTCAGCTGTGACGGCATTATGAGGTCTTAGCGGCGTTTGTTTCCTTCAGGAAATATCGGCTAGAACCCATAACAGTGCGACTTCGCCTTAACTCATTTATTTATCACGAATTTAAAAAATAAGACTTGTATGTGAGTGATTTGATGTGATTTCTTATATACGATTGTTTATTTATGCCTTCAAGATTATATATTTTGATAAATCGATTAATAACATACGCTGTTATTCATTGCTTGCATTAGAATGAAGTATTATTTATCGGTACAGGCGGCACATCCCCGCACAAGTCCCTCGTAGGGTCAGCCCCACACTCCCCCCCACGCATGGTGGGTGAACGGCCCACTGAGCGAGCCCTCGAGGAGATGTATGCCAAGGTATGCTATTTATAAGTGTCTAAAATACATGTATGGTAGTGAATAAGCATTAGTAAGGTGTGAAATTGTGAGACTACTTTGGTATAACTGGTCATTAAAGCTGTGTAAATATTTCAGCACTTTACTTAGTGTTGAAACTATCAAAATGCCATGAAAAAAGGATTTTCAGTCATGGGATTTTTCAGGTGCAGAAACTTTACAAAGTTGTTGAGTTATCCTAAAATAGAATAGAAATTAATTCGGAACTATTTTGGCAGGTGATGAAGAAACGCAACAGCGGGAGCGGCGCCAGCCACAGCCGAGGCAACAGTTCAGAAGACGCCGCTGAGCTGATGAGACAGAGCCTCGAGTTCGCGTTCGATCCTCCCGCTCAGCCTGGAGGGCTTTCACCCCCCGGCGATGTGCCGATACAGACCGGGTCTTGGAACATCATTGGCGTCACTGGGAGCCAGACGGCACAAGCCGCGGCTATAGCCGCCGGTGTTGTGGCTGCCGTACAGACGGGTTCTGATCCAGGTTATGAGACGGTTAAAGATTACCATGATATCAACTATCCGGCTTATGAGACAGTCAAGAATGGGCGGGAAAATGAGTCTGAGCCTGGATACGAGACGGTGGCTGCCAAGCGATCCAGCACCGCTGAACCTGGATACGAGACTGTAACTGCCAAGAGATCCAGTCCTACTGAACCTGGATACGAGACTGTAACTGCCAAGAGATCCAGTCCTATTGAACCTGGATACGAGACTGTAGCTGCTAAGCGATCGAGCACTGCTGAACCTGGATACGAGACTGTAAAGGACCGAACCAGCGAGTCTCAGCCTGGATATGAAACAGTATGTAATATAATGGATCAGTCTTCTGATCCTGGATACGAGACCGTCTCCAGCAGACAGGACGACTCCCAGCCCGAGCCAGGATACGAGCAACTGCATTCCACACGTCGACCGGTGTCTGAGTGCGACTCGAATTACGAACAGCTTAAGTTTACTGAGCAACCTGACCCTGGCTACGAGAGTGTCAAATCCTGCTATGAGAGTCCTTATGAACAGGTCTCTGAGTCCCCAATGTATGCCGAGATAAACAAGCCTCCTAAATCTCAGCCTGTTTATGCCAGTGTTATTAAGAAGTCGCCAGCCACTGATGCTACGCCTGTTTTTTCTCTAGAACAAGAATTCCTGGATGCTTCATCCAAAGTGATTTCGGACGAGACTGACGATGACAAAAATGGATTTATTGAGGAAGGGTCTCTGCCTGAGAAGAAATACAAGCGTTCACTGGAAGAAGAAGCTGCCATCCTTGTGAGTAGTGTTGAGGAATCTGCGTTGAATATTCTCTCTAGTCGCGACAAGTCTAGTGATAGTATCGCTAGTGCCTACGCTGATGAAGGAAAGGCAATTGAAAGTTTAGGCCATGATCTAAAGCAAGATGAAGCTGGGCTTGTAGTGGCCGGAAGTGATGGATCAGATACGTCAAGTGATGCGGTTTTCTCGCGAAAAATAAGTTACGAGCAGCCGACGGTATTACCTGGAATCGTAAGCCTTGACCAGCAACTAAGTGACATGATCACAGAGAATGGAACTGTATTGACTCCAGACGATGTGCTTATCAATGACCCAACCAACTATTCAGAAGCGATGCTCTTGAAGAAGGACTCGGGCAGTGTTGAAACCGACAACGGTACGAGAGACACGAATAAAGCTTCAATTGAAGTACACAACGGCTCAGCTCACAGTTCTGTTGATAATTCTTCCTCAGGAAGAGAGGATATCAGTCCTGAGGATGAAGTGTGCTTGCCTCCACCTGAGGATGCATATGGAGAAGGAAGCTCTTCTTGTATTGGCGATGAAGTTGCTACTGAAGACTACGGTGTCACTCAAGGAGTGATGGCGCCGGCACTTAGTGTTGACGAGAGCAGCGCGGCAGAGGAAGTTCCTCTCACTCCTACAGTGCTTTCCATCCCTGTGCCGCAGTCATGCTACCTCTCACAAGACAGCGCTTCTGATTTTATTTCTGGTGCTCCTCCAGTGTCGCCTCCTCATGCTTCCCTCCTGCTTGACGCAGATCTTTCAGAGCACGACCAACAAGCCTCTTCTCTGCCTCCTCCGCCTCCTCTTGAGCCAACGCTGGTTCAGACCTCAGCTGATGGTCCTGATTCACTTCCTCCTCCTTTGGATGAAGATCAAGACTTCGGGTATGTACCGCCACCTCCAGACCTTCTGAGCGATGCCCCTGAGTGTGACCTGCCACCACCTATGGGCGTGATGGACATTCTTCCCACGTCTTGCACGGATGATTTGCCTCCACCATTGGATGCTGAAACCTCTAACGTTGTCATCGAAAACGGGTTTAAAGAGGCAGAGTCTGTTGACTGTGTTCTGCCACCGCCTGATGCGTCACAAGGAGAAGACATGACCGTGATTGTAAATCCTATGGCTGAAATAGACGAACTTGCCAGCCGCGTGGCTAAGGCCTGCAGAGACGACACCAGTCCTTTGAGTTCTCCTACTGGGGATCTTGGATGTCCTCCGCCACCTCCTCCGTTACCACCACAGCTTGACGACGACGAAGAAAAAACCAAAGTGTAAATGCCAACGGATACTTAGACTCTCCGCGACTCGTGAGTTTTGTATGTGGAGGTATTTAATGAATGAAAGACACTTGAATGAATTTTTGGAAACCAAAATTATGGAGTGCTTTAGGCATTACCTGAAGATATTGCAATAGGAATTTATTGACGATTCTTGATTAATGTTATACGTATGAGGGAGTTCTAGATAGAAAATGGTGAAATTCAAATGCGGATTTGCGAGACTTAAGGGCAGCTTAATCGGGATGCGTTGGGTTTAGATTTGAGGTGCGTATTGAGCTGTTGGAAATGAACGCCAGGGTGCTGACAAAAGTACTAATATTCAATTTTTATGGCAGTTTCCTCCGACCAGCCCGTGATTGATTTAATGGCTCATTATGTGACATAAGCAAGTCTCAAATACCCCGACACTCTGATGGAAGGATGCTCACGTTTCTTGTTACCATCAAACTGGCCGGAGTCGAGGATTGTTCACCGCATCAGAAGTTACGGAAATTCTGACCTGAGGTTTCAAAAGAAGGCGAGTTTGATTCATTTGGAAGCTAATACAAGCTTCTCGGTATTTGTGTAACATAGGCTCGTATTGTGTGTAGTAGTTCGTAACTTAACCTTAGTCTATAATGGTCAGTATTTTGATGGGGATTCATCGTAATGCTCGTTAATGGAGCTGCTGTAGGGGTGATGAACTCTAAACAAGGCTGCGCTTAGCTTTAAGGGCGTAGTTTGTTGTATTGTCTTTCTTCTTTACACTCGGAGTAATGAGTGAGACTTGTCCAAATAGTGATGCACTCTTTGCTTATTTACGGGTTAACTTTGCCCGGTTTTGCCCTGCGCAAGAGCGTGTCAGTGCTACGAGTAAGAAGTAAGTCACTACTTGGACAATCTGACCCATTCCATTATCTGCGGTTAGAGTTCCAAATGTGGCTATCTCGTATTTTTCTGCATCTTCGCTTTGCCATCGTTTCTTGTGTTCTCACTACTCTGTTTGGTACATATGTTATCCTCTCATATCGATTGAATAGAATGATTAGAAAACAACTGATGTTAAGGAATGTATTCCTCATCGAAATTACATGCAGGTTATTGCTGTATATTTATCGACAGATTCTCGTTGCATTTGGTCGTAGCGCCCTTACCTTGTGGGCATTAGAGCTAATATGATCGCTTTAATTTTCGATTTTATTATTGATTTCATTAATGAACTGAATGCCATGAGACCGAGATGAGCCGACTAGAGAGCGTTCCTCTCGCCACCTAAGCTGTGTTCAGGACACGTTCAGTGACTTATAGGCAGGGGCTATAACCATAATATTTTATCCATAATACCGTATATTATCCGTGATCTTTTGATATTTTATAGGTCTCGGGGCTCTCATAAAATAACAGCTGTTGGAATGTACTTAAACTATTCATCGTTCCCATAGGCTTCAGTTGTCATCAGTACAGAATTAGTTTCATGTTTCGTTGGCTTTCAATGTGTATAAAGTTTTAGTAAAACCAAACATTAAAGAAGTCAACACTCGGATAATTCTTAGTCACATTCATATAATGGTATTTGATTAATGTGGTGACAGTTGCGATTAGTATTTCTTAAGCCTTTTTAATGAGGGCAAACTAATCTGTCCTGTTGAGCATTTATGATGGATATTTTTAAAGCACGGACGAAAGATTTTGATTTATCTTAATAGAATGGTGAATATTTTTAAAGCACGGACGAAAGATTTTGATTTATGTTGTCCTAGTGGAATGGTGGATATTTTTAAATCTCTTACTTCATACTAAAAATATTGAATAAGCCAAGAAATTTGTTTATGCGCGTGCATGAAGCAGCCACGTTATCGCAAAAGGCTGCGACGTCTCCGAGATTTTTTCCTGTAAAAGCGATAAGGTTTTCTCTCAAATCGATCTCTGTGTATAGAAAGGAGTTTTCAATGATTTATTTTGGAAATCACAATACCAGTGCTCAATAACAGGCGATAATGCGCAAGATTAGGATTCATTGGATGCGTAGTAGTGAGTATATTCTTAGTAGACGGTGTTCACCCCTGAGCCGCTTTCATGATATACCGTGCATTGAAAAACCAATAATACATTATTTTGATAATACTTGAATTTATGGTAAAAACGGATTATACGCTTGATAAATCAATTAGAAATCTGAATCACCAACAGATTGGGTTCAAAGCATTAAGTTATATGCAGCTGCGATACTGCAATCTTGTTCGAGAATTCGGTATCAGTGCAGGCTATGTTAGCATAATTAACAGTCGTGGTCTCATTGTGAACGCTGTTCTAGATATAACAGGCAGCTGCTCGCTCTACTCGCCTATAATAAAGTTATTAGATTGTGGTTATGTGCACTAGTATGGGTTGGTATGAGTTGTTTAAGAGTTTAAAACGTGTGGTGGTAGTGGTTATGTACACTAGTATGGGTTGGTACGAGTTGATTAAGACGTGTGGTGGTAGTGGTTATGTGCACTAGTATGGGTTGGTTGACGAGTTGATTAAGACGTGTGGTGGTAGTGGTTATGTGCACTAGTATGGGTTGGTTAACGAGTTAAGAAATGTGGCGGTATTATAGCGGCTCAAATGCGTACGTAAGATACGCTTTAGTTATAATTCATAAGCTCATTATGCAGCTTGGACACTTCTTCCTTTTGTGAACAGAGAACTTGGAAATAATGAATGTAAAGCACTTAGTGGGTTTTCGTTTTTGATCGAATTTTGAACACAGGTGTGCTATAGAATGAGTGCGATAACGAAGTGTGTGGTAGTGAATTGCGGCCTTGAATTTTTCTATTCGATGCATTTCTTGAAACTCCAACTGACCGTAAATTCTTATCTGAAGCGATAATGTTAACATTTGAAACCAAGGGCTCAATGACCAGTTTCCGTCAACGAACAAATGAAGATCAGCCTAGGTCAAGGGTTGAAGCAATTCAGTATTTGTTATCATAATGGCATTTTTAATGGATGAACCCGAAATAGCTGTAATGCTTGAACTTGTTTTATTGAGAGTAGAAGGAAGAGATTTGAGGGGGAGCAAATTAAGGTTTTTAGCTTTACAGTCTTAACTTTGGATGAATTTTTAAATTTTGTGCAGCAACGAACTGATCTAAAAGAATGCAGTAGTTAGAACGCATGGTATTTTTGGCGCTTTGCTTATTGGTACTTAAAGTGATAGTGTGTCCCGTCTCTATAATATACTAACTATATATATTTGTGTATATTATATCTATTTTATAGAACCTAAATTACCGTGTCTTGCCCATCTACCGTCGTGTAATGTTCACGTCTTTGTTCAAATTCCCGAAATCATTCCTTAGAATCTTGGTAGTTTTACTCTACTTAACTTGTATGCTTCGTAAATTGTATACCTTATATACAACCTTGTATTTTATATCATAGGTATTTTTTCCGTACGTTTTTATATTGATAACTATTTCAATTATTCAGCAAGTCAAAATGCACAAGTTGAATCTTTTCCTAACCGAAACATCAGCGACAATTTGCTTCCATTGCTACAGATAACAAGCGTCCTAATGAGAGGACATCAGCGCTGCTGCTGCCCTAAGCACGTGCACGTATTTATTATCATCGTTATAATTCCTTCTTCATATTTTTCTTCAAATAAAAATTCCTGCTTAGTCTAATTGTGCATATACACTTGTAGTGTCAATTTTGTCCACATAGCAATTAACTTTTTTCCACTTGTGCGGGTCAGCTTGACCCAGTTTGGCCCAGCCAAGGCTCTTGCTGTGGGTTAAAAACTGCGTCACTATCTGGACAATGTGTCCCATTCCTTTTTCTGATAGTATTATTTAGCATCCACGATAGTCTCACGAGGTGAAAGGTGAAAATCCCAATCTCCCAAATTTCTAAATCTGGAAGACGACATTTCCCTCCTTTATTACCTCACTTATTACTTCAGAAACTAATCCCAATACTGGAGTATGGAATTTTCCAGCAAATGAGTGTCTTTCTTTTTCTCCTACCGCCTCGATGTTTTCTTCTTACAAAGCTGCGTGGTCCCGAACTTGAAATAAATTACCCTACTAGGGTAATGTATCAATGTTTCGAAGGTAATGGTGAGGGTGACGTTTTAAATTAGACTTATATGTATCTGTCAATGATGACGTCATTTTTGGGTAGGGTAACGTGCTCATTTTGACATGTGTTCGGTAAAAATTTACACTATTATGCATCTTTTAATACAAAGCCAGAGATCCTGTATTTATTCACTGTATAGGTCAAGTTTTTAAAATCTTTGGTGGTGTTATTCATGGTTGCTCACACATCTGAGTGGATAACAATAGTTAACAAATATTAAAACCCTTAGCAATAAGACATTGTAAGAGCATAATACATTCTTCGTTATGTTGACGAGCGCAGTGCAGCGCTCCGTTCAGTTTCATGGAGTTCTTATGTAGCGTTTATGTTCAGTTATCTAGTCGATATTTTATTCCTAAAATTACAGTCTCTTCTTATTTAACCTAACAATCGTATTCTGGGAACTTATGTGCAGCCAGTGGACTTTAACCGAGACTTTTCTTCGTAAAATTTGTTGATTTTAAGACTAAAATCTGAAACGGCATTTGTTTTTTTAGCGGTAACTGTAATTTTCAATCTAAAGTGGGCATGGCAACTGTTTTCTATGTCGAAGTTCGTGCAATCTTTCGAACCGCTATATGTTTGTTTGTAAGACAGATTTCTTTTGGAAACTTATTAATTCTACCGCGTGAACTGAAGAAGTAAGGTTTAAATATTTAGGTGTATGATATTGATATCGTACGTAGAATGGACGTATTTTCATTGATGTCGTTCGTGGAAGCGATGTATTTTTGATTGATACCGTTCGTTCAATTGATGGATTTTCTACGTCTTTTTCAATTTTGCGTATCCCAAACTTTGTGTGAAGTCGATGATTTGTATTTGTGCTATAATTTAGGTACATTTTTAACCTTTTGGGCATTATAGGGAATACTTGCAGGACTCCGGGCGGCATTAAATTGTTGTTCGACGACTGGCCATGCAATGTAGCTTTTTCGAGCAGCTCCAAAATAGGACAAATTCCCTGCCTCCAGCATTACTTTTCCTTCCTCGAGCATCCTTCTTCCGGCCACGAACAGCTATTTCCAGCACCGAGAATCACGATATCCTGCCTCGAACATCATGATTTCCTGCCAATATCATCACTATTTACTGCCGAGCATATCTATTTCCCGCATCTAAACCTCTACATTGACGCTCTTCAAGCAGTGGTTATTTCCAAGCTCTCTTAACTATATTATTATAATCCAATTTAATCTTAGAATTGACGCAGGAATAACATAATAAAGTGAACCCATACCTCCTTTCAGTCCGACCATGGTTATTGAATGTGAATTTCCATCGCTATCGACGATGCATGTTGCCTTCCGTCTTCTACAATCAAAATTGTGAACTACGTCCGACTTAACTGATGTTTCCAGCTAAGGCTTTCTAAATGTTTCAACGTGAGTTTGTTTATCTCTTTGATGTGTTAGTTGCATTCCATGTCAAATTATTAACTTATGTACCGGCTTACGGTGGTGATGGTGGTCAGTGATCCTGATAAACTGATTAATAATTATCAGTTAATAAATAATATTGATTTAAATAATATTGATTAATTACGCCCACCAACCTCATCATTTCCATGAAAATAAGCATATTTAGTTTACTGTTGATATTTTTTTCCTTACTCGTCTAATTGTGACGGTATATTAGTATTAGTTATTTCGTACAAGCCATTCTTGTGTTGAATTTCATATTAAGGATTTGACTAATCTTTTTTAGGCTGCACTCTCAATAGGTAACGGTGTCATAACTTTTAATGCACAATTCTAAGGCTGTGCAAGTTACACGCTATTTTTGTTTGCTTATAAATGAAGAAAATTTTTTTACAAAAAATGTACGTCGGCCGCATTTAAATCATGTCGCGTTCGCAGCTTCAGATTATAGTCTTAATGTGCGTATACGTTCAAACGCTTCATTTGCTCATATGATACTTCAACATATAATAACTAAGCTTTAATTCACTTCCGCATCGTTTTATGTGCTAATCAATATAATAAAATAATTGAAATTATTTACTGCGGGTAAACAACGAATCTCGAAGTTTGAGATCTGTTCGTTATCTGGAACGTCTCTTTAGTTTTACGCATGAATCTCTTGGCGTATTGTTTCGTCCGTGTTGGTTACCGAATATTTAATCGTACGTACTTTCGTCGTCACAGGTAGCGCCTGAATGTCGTGGTGCTTAAATAAAGCAGTAATTTAGTTAATTCTCATTGATGTGTCTTTGTAATGATTTCCTTTGCACTGTCCGGGCTCGTTGACTCCCATTCCCTATTTAATTATCTAAATAGCTTGACAGTGCTCTACACTCGCTCATAACTAAATAAATTATAAACTTATATTTAGTTATTATTGATATTTAGCTATGGTTTTTTATAACTAAATGAGTAATGTTATGCATATTTTAATTTAGTGCCCGCTGCCATTTATGGTCTACTCGCAAAAACCACGATCGGGGAAGTTGAATCCAGGCAAGATTGGGAGTTTAGAATTGATTGATATTGATAATCAGTTTCTTATAATTATATGCAACTGTCCTCCGAACAAATTAATATCCCAAAGTCTCGAGCGCTCAAACACCATTTGTATGAATACTGATCTCCGTACCACTCATTTTCCTTACTTAGTCCCTAATTATAATTCGTGTTTATCTTAGATTTTAACTAAGACAAGTCTGGAATATTTTCCAAATATATACGTGGTGGTAGCTGTGAAATCTGAAGCTATTGTATCTATTGTATCCAGGATATCCATTAAACTTTTATAGTTTATACTACGTAAAAAATTCCTCGAGTTCCCACAGAAAATTTTCAGAGGAAAGCCCTGGCTTTGTAATGATTTTTACCTTCCACGGCTAATTATTTTTGTTATGGATTATTTTTTGTTATGTTCTGTATTTTGAGTGTATAGTCAGCAGCTGAGGTAATTTTCCTACTCAAAGAAATGAGTGCGACTTTGTCGAAATAGTGATGCACTTATAGACCTTGTGTTTGGGACATCCTGATTCAGTTTTTCACGGGGAACATGTATTCAGTTCTGCATGCAGAAGTGTGCCACTATTTAGACAATATGACCAGTTCATTTTTCTGAGTATCATTTAAAGGCGTAGTCACAGTACTTAACTTATATTTATTTCTAACCTGTTTTTGTTTGAAAAAATTACAGCTTAAAGTTGTATTGCTTTGCATGGCGGCTAAGTTTATATAGATAATTGTGCTCGTGATTCTTGCGTAATGAATGCAATGTATTGGTTCCTGATCGTTTGTGTTCCGCATTTGATAGCAACGAAGTTAACGTCTCGTTACAACGATTTAATCTTTGAGTAAACCTGTAATGGCTTAACCTTTTGTCTAATAACGGATACAAAAGTTACTGGGTCTTTAAAATGAATAGCATTGACTTATTATTTTATATATGAGATGGAAAATTTTCAACACTTTGTCCCACTTCTGATCATGGTCACTGTTTCTTTCCAGAAAGTTTTAAGTGACCACACGTAGTTATCAGCCGTCGACCTGAACACGATGTCTCAAAGTTGCCTCTTGTATTGATTGATTATATTGTATCAAGGTTACCAATCTTCATTGTTCATTATAAGTTGTCGTTGATAAACAAACTCTGGTTTTCTGTCGTGCTCTGTTATCTGCACAAATTTATATCAGTGCACCCGTGCATGTATACTAGCATAAATGGAACTATGATGTCTGCCATGAAAGCTCCTTTAAAAAGAGTCAGTAAATGTGTGATTTTCTCTCGAGATGTGAATCGTTGTATCGTGAAACATGTCTTAATAATGGAGTGATTATGCTGTCACAATTGGTGTTGTTCAAGGTTTTTTGTGGCGTCTCATCGTAATGTTTTTCATTACCTGCTTGCCACAATACAATTTTTATACACACTTCACAGGTACAGTTTTCTATCATCCATATTAATGCTAGATTTATCATTTATCTCTGGAAATACACGCGGTTGATGTATCTGTATTTTTCTATTGTAATTTCGCTACAATTCAGCTAAATCCATTGATTAAAAATCCGCAGCTAACTATTCTTATACACACTTCACAGCCACAGTTTTCGATCATCCATATTTAGGCTAGACTAATCATTCATCTCTGGGAATACAAGTGGAGGATGTATTTGTATTTATTGTATTTTTCTCGTGTAATTTCGCTAAAATGCAGCTGAATCCATCGATTGAAAATCCGCAGCTAACTATCAAGTATAAATCTTATTTGAGTAAACCTGGATGTAAGAGTAGGACTAATAATTACGCGTCTCACGTCTGTGTGACGTGTTCATGAAGCTCATAATTATTTACTTTATTTCTTGTACAATTTATTGTTATAAGTAATTTGGTAGTATAAGACTGCCTGCAGCTCTCTAGTCCACGACGCAACACGACTCGTCTGACGTCATTGATGCCAAATATGTTCTCTATAGCCATTGATTATTAGATTTGCACATTAGTGGGTACGTAAAATAACTGATACCCTATATACAGGGATAAAAATTTCTTTAAAGTCCACTGACTACCGACCTGGCGGACCTGCATTGGTTTCCATCGAATCATTTCATTTTCAAGTATTAAATCCCGTGGCTTTTCTCACGGGCACAGGACTTGAAATTACTTTTAAATTCCGAACAAATTTGGAAGCCCAGCTGTTTCTGCTAGCTACATAACCCTCTTCCTCCGTCGTCAGGGATAGGATGGCCATCGGCAATGCTGTTTGCATGCGATGGCAACCCTTAGAGATCTTTGTCCATCGCCAGTGATAATATGGCCATCGTGAATGCCCATCGCCAGTGATTGATAATATGACCATCGTGAACGCTAATCGTGTACACTGATGACTAAAGTTGCGATTCGCTGGAGGAAAATTGTAACCCCTGAACTGAAGCTGCGTAATGATGTCAGACGTGTTCGTAGTGTGTGTCCCGGCGAATAAATGTCGAATGTCCTGTAAAAATGCTCTACTTTTGACTGTGTAGTTTTTACGCTTCTTCGCTACTAATTACTTCTATTATTAAGGGCTTTGCAGATGAGGAAACTCGTAGCAGCTACAACAAACTGAAGACGGTATTCTACCGATGGTTCAGTTAATTTCCTATGTCACTCTTCTCTCAATTTATTTTCATTCTTTGATCGCTCAAATGGTTATTTCAGCTATATTTTTCCCACTATCTCAATGTAACAGTAACATATTGGCATCCAAAGAATAGCTCATTAGTGTTGTTAGTGGAAGTGTAAAGGTAGCTACCGATGCGCCTGGTCCCCACATTTACTTGTCTTGTATTCATGAGTTGCCTGGTAGCTGAAGTCTCCGTACGCATCGCTGGCTTTACGTGTTGTGCTTTCGTCAGGTCTTAATTAAAGCTCCTCCTAACATGACGTACATTTTCTGAGGTTCTTCGAGTTTTATTTATCCTTGACTTCATTTAATTTGCTGCTCAGAAGTCAACAGGATTTTTGTCCTCTTGTTAGCAATATGACACTAGAGTGGTCTCCATTTTTTCTTATTGTTTTTATTAAAATCGCTAGCAGAAACGTGAATGCTTTGGAAACAAATTTTTTACTCAATGTTTTTTTCAAAACCGAATTCACTCTTTGTAAATTGGTAATATTGAGCCATTCGCGGGAGTTCGTAAATGTAGCGAACTCGTAGGAGACATTACTTTATTTCGTTAGATAGTAATGTTCAAAGTATTAATAGATTTTATTTCTATTCTTTGCTTGTTTTCACTGAAAATTTTGTATTTCAGTGCACTTCGTTGCAAACTTGTGAAGAGGTGATGACTGTTTTTTTAAATTTTCGATCAGTTGAAGAATCGTGATCTATGTTTGGTCTTTCATGACACTTCATGTTATTAATAACAGAAATTTTGGCTCAACGCTTGGTGAGTTGAAAAATATAATTTAATAATTTCAAGTTTTAAACTCTGAACAGACGTCGATTTTTAACCAGAGTATTTAAAATTGACATCTATTCTCATTATCAGCCTGACAATGATGCTCTGGAGTGGCCTTGCTCTTCATGTGCAGCTAATCAAGACCGAAATATTAGAACGTAGATCTGAATGCGGGCGTCTGCTTCAAATTCAATGCAAGTGAAGTTTCAGGGCTCAAAGATGCACGTATAAATATAAGCTCTCGTGGTCGCACGATGAAAGATTAATGGTATTTTTACGGTGTCTTGGCAAAGAAACTATCCATTAATCGCATGTTTATTCTGTTGACATGAATTCATTAATGTTGAAACGTGCGTCACCAGAAAAATCATCAATTCACTCTATTGACCGATCAAACGTATTTGGTCTGTGATAATTCTGAAGGGTTAATCTTAAAGTGCAGTCGACACAACAATCATTCTCACCTGTGGCTTCCAAATGCCACGCTGTCGACACTTGAACAAATATTTCTCACCTTGGGCTTGCAGGCCTGCGCGAGCATACGAAAAAGGAAATATTTCTCAACTTTTCGTACTTTGGATTTCTTATTTCGTATAACTTCAAACATGTTAGTTAGTTAGTTTAGTGGCCAAATGTTTACTAGCGCTTCAGCTATTAAGCTATCTCGCACCGAAAGTCAAGATGAACATCACCATAGAGGTGGAAGGTCTCAATTATTCATCACCCACAAGGGGCGGAAGGTCTCAAATGTCCAGCCCGCTGAAGCTGGCTCGAAAGAAGCAGCATTAGCATCTCAAAGAGACGAAGTGACGAGGAGGGACAGGTGTAAAGCAACAGAAACGAAGACACTCGAACAAGAGGTCGCTTACACGGGACGTCGGCCGCCCGCACGAGAGAGACAGAGAAGGGAAATGTGAGGAATCCTGCCTACATAATAACTTAACCCCACAACTGAGACCTGCAGTCAGACACCGCGAGCTCAGCGGTGGGGCGCTCAGGAACAATCCCCCTAGGAACGCGAAATCCCATAGGACTTCTGACGAGCACAGACACCCGTCAGAAGTCCCCCCTGAGGGGAACTTCAAACATGGACTCTGGAAGAACGCGTGGAGCTTAGTTGGGTGCTTATCTGGTATGATAGCTGGAATTAGATTTACTTTCATTACTTTATCTGAACAAGCATAGTAAGTGATGGGAATAAACGATGAAGATCTGTCGTTTTACTGGACAGCTCATTTTTTTTAAGCCACTGAGAAAAATTTGGGAAATTTTTAAATATTAAGAAATATAGTGGGTGCAAAAAGTATCCGGCTCAAAGGAAAAACTATTTAATTGAAGCCTATCGAACAAAATAACATAAACAAACACTATTCTTATGTAAATTTACATGGGAAATACAAATATAACATCAAACAGCAAAATCAGTAAATTTTGACTTGATAATTGAAATTTTGTAAAAGTTGGGGTTCAAAAAGTATCCAACACATAGTAAACAAATTTACTGAATACTTCGTCATGTGACCTTTAGCAGTCAAACCTGCTTCTAACCGATTGGATAGGTGCTTGTTTACGAGATTAACGCAAATGCTAATATGAATTTTAGCCCACTATTGCATATTTCTTTCAATTGGATTATATTTTTGGATCTCCCTCCTGTACCCTCAATTTCAATTCCCGCCACAGATTTTCAATCAGATTGAGGTCAGGTGATTGGCTTGGCCATTCGAATAACTCAATGTCCTTCTCCTGAAACCATGCAAGAGTTGCCCTAGCCGTGTGCTTAGTTTCATTGTCTTGATGGAATATCCAACCTCGAGGAAGGTTCAATTTTCCAGCTGACTCAACTAGACATCTACCAAGAATGCCACGATACATTCCGGAGTTCATCCTTCCTTCTATGATTTACAATTCCTCAGGGCCTGTAGAAGAGAAACAACCATAAAGCATTATGCTGCCACCTCCAAACTTCACTGTTGGGACGGTATTCTTCAGGTGAAACACAGAGTTCTCCTGTCTCCAAACACGACTGACAGTTCCAACCAAACAACTCTATTTTAGTCTCAGCTGACCATATTATATTATCCCAAAAGCTTGAAGGTTTACTCTCGTGTTCTTTAGCAATGTTCCGGCTGTTCTTTACGTGAATTTCCCTCAAGAGAGAGGTTTTCCTTGGTGACAGAGTGCATGGAGTCCTCTCTCTCTAAGAACTGTCCTAATTGTATTCATGCAAACATTTGTCCCTCTTGATTGCTAGTCTTTTTGCATTTTAGAGCGAATCAGTCGAGGATTATTCTGTGTGGTCAGACTCACTGAACGAGGCAGACTAGTCGAAAGATGAAATGATTTCCACCAACGAACAGTTTCACCAACTGTCGAAATTGAGATATTTAACACAGATTAAATTTTTCCATATTCCAACCCATCTCTGTGTAGCTGAATAATTGATTTTCTACTGGATTCAGATAATTCTGCAGTTTTAGGCATTGTCCAGTTTTAGGCATGGGTCCAAGAGAAAAAGGCAAATTTAGCCAACAAAGAAGGCCTCATTCAAAATTAATAAGAAAATTTTAAATTAAAGGTATATAGAACGATTTGAAGTTCACACATTTACTTTAAGGCTTTCAGATAACAGAAATTACATCAAGTTCACTAAGTTTACGTTCTGAATTACCGTCACTGCGGGACGCCTGTCGGAGACCCCACTGCCGCGCTTCGTCGAATGGACTATCAAGATCCCTTCCCTCCCTCAAGAACGAAGCCTATAACACTTTTTGACTATAACATTATCAGCCACAAGCCACCAGGCAGATCACATCCGCTGAATTAGATCAATCAGCCCACAGGAAAATTGCCTGACATAGAATGGCCCAACATCGTCTGCCAATACGTGAAAAAAATTTATACCACCTGGACGGAGCGCGCCTGAATCAGCCTACGCTCGAACGGACACGCGTCGTAGGACGATAAATTTTAGAACAGAACTATGCTGAAACGGTAAACCGTTTTACCGTTTCAAACGGTGTTTCACCGTTTCAGATTAGAACAGAACTAATCTGAAACGGTGAAACCCAACTTCAGATGCTGTGAGCTAAAAGTTACATGATTTAGCGAATCTTCGGAAGTCAAGAATTCACTCGTCAGCGGACGATAGATTTTGGAACAGAACTATGCTTTCTGAAACCTAACCCCGGATGGTGGAAAGTTATGTTATGTCCTGCCTTTACAACGATCAAAGACAATAAAAGTCATTTATAAAGTTAATGCGTGGCCAAAACTTCATTTGGTTCTCACTGCACCTGGACCAACAAATCTATTGCCTATAAGTTGAGTGTCATACTCCACCAGTCCACCTTCGTAGCAGTGCACCTAGAAACTTTGAACTGCACGCAGACCGTATCGTTCCACGGCAGTCCTTGCAACACCACAGCAAGAGCCTTAAAACTGCATACAGACCCTGTTGTTGTACAGCAGTCCTTGCAACACCAAAGCAAGAGCCTTAAAACTGCCTACAGACCCTGTCGTTGCATTGCAGGCTCTGACCACTGCGACAAGATGTCCCGATGTCTCGTTCTTCTCATCGTCACCGCGGCGACAGCGTCGGCTCAATCGTAAGTGCGGCGAGCTCAGATGGTAAAATCTGTAATTCATGACAATTGTTATCCTCAATTATCAATGTTTCCTTATTTTTCTTGTTTACTTGGAATATTGAAAACGTATTGATACAGCTTCATCAAAACTTGAGTTTCAATAATGTTCTAAGTCTTGTAAGCATTAATAGATTAATTTGAGAAATTTAGTATACATTATTTTGCCATATTATTATTTGGGAGCATTAAGCTGCTGCTAAAAATACCCTGTCGCGTTGATAACGTTGAATTTTTTCCGGCAACGAATGTTCAATCTAACTTTTGTCTTCATCTGTATATATTAATTATCGAATTTCGGAGTTTTGTTTCGTGCGTAAAAAGGTTGAAAAGTACAAAAATATTAGTTTTTCAATGTGAGTACACTAATGAATTCGTGGTTGAATTGTGATGGACTGTGTCGTCATTCATCAATTATCACATGAAAACTTAGTTTTACAAAAATTAATTAATGTTTTACGAGCTGAAGTTTTTATACATGGAAATTTTGACTGCAGCTTTTCCGCTTGTCACGATGCGCTGGATAATGGATACGCTTTCTTGATGAATGTATCAGCTTACGCTTGTGCGAAGGAATACAAGGCATGGGGTCTTACATATTTCACAAGTAAGTGCCAAGTTAATATTCGACAATTATTCGTATCTTAAGTTCTATTGACTGTAATTTACTATAATATTTTTTATGGTGGATTCGAACGGGTCAGTTTTCATATTCAAACCAATCTTTATCTCGTCTCTGCCTGTTCTATTTTTACGTGATTATTACAAGTCAATGAGTCATATGTGTATATAGATAGGAATAATTCTCTTGCCGCATTTTCAAAACAGTCACGAGTCAAAACCATATGTCCTCAAA